TTTCCACAGAACAACTATATTTCTAAGGAACGATCGCAGATATACAAGGAACGATGGCAGAATTCTAAGGAAAGATGTTTAATTCTAAAAAGAACAGTTACATTTGACACTACATTTTCAAGTAGAAGCGTTGTCCCTTCTGGGCCACCGTAGCCAAAACTAAAACAAAAATAGGGGCCTTAAGCAGTCAGGACGGCAACGCCAAGGAAGACTTCGATTAAAAAATGAATTTCTACCCTTAGTCAGAATTTCAAAAATGGCTGCATGAGCTTACTGTCTCATACGGCGCCACAGTTCAACTTCAACATGACGTATAGAAGTAGCGTTGAATTCCCAATGGAAATTAAATTAATTTTCCGTCGCGGTTTCGGTTCGCAGACGACGCAAATTTTGGTGATTTCACGTTGTTGTTTTGCATAGGACTAAAATAGTAAACATCTGTATAAAGATCACGTCAGTATGCACACTTGAAGAATTTCAAGGATTTTACAAAAGTTAAAAAATGTACAAAGTTTCAAAACGCACGTGCTGAGCTATTGTTCTGCCAATTAGATCTCTTGTTTTCCCACGTCCTCGTTACCGTCGCCGTCGTGGTTGCTTAAGGTCCCTAATAACATAGCTCCAACTGGAAAATTAGTTGCTTTGTTATACAAAAGAGGGCCTTGTATAACAGACAAGATCCTTTACGGAGCCTATATCCTGTCCGGATTTGCGGTTCAGAGAGAACGAAATGACGGCCTTGCGGTTTTCGGAAAAATCGCTGATGAGTGCCTTTCATTGTTTGTTAACATAGAGAGTTATGGAGATTAAGACTCATATCGTCTATGGCCTCCTGTTCACCAAAACATTGGGTGACAGAGCTTTCCTGGTAGCTGCTCCTTTCTAATGGAATAAGCTGCCAAGGTCCGCGCGCGAAGCAACGAACTTAGAATCTTTTAAGATTCTACTTAGGACATTTTTATTTAAGGAATCATTTCAGTTATCTTACTATATCTATGTTTTTATTTGTAATTATCTTTCATTAATTTAATGTAAATAAATATATATAATTTATGATTTTAATTACTGTTGTGATGCGCTTTTGAAAATTTTATAGAAAAGGGGCAATACAAATAATAAATGTTATTGTTATTGTTATTGAAAGCCGACAAAAAAACAAGAATATCTCATAAATTTCAGAACCTCATCACAAACCTATAATTTGATCCCGTTCCATTTCAACTTGAAATACTGTTGTCGCTCCCAGATAAATCCAAAACTGCCGATTTATTACAACAAACCTAAGTAGAAGATCTGTAGTTTGACTCGAAGTAAACTGCAGCTGATTGTTTCCTCAGGAAGGAGTCAGGAAATATCAGTACGAGACTGTTGCGCAGTCATGTTGTAGTCATATTGACTACATATATAATAAAGCTTGCAAGAAGTTCTACTCCACACTTATTCTACGTCGAGCCGGCGTTGATCAAGGTAGCATGTTAAAGGTCTATACAAGCTCTGTTAGACTTGTTTAGTACGCCGTACTGGTGTGACAATACATTCCAGGTTATCTCAGTCTGACAAAATATTTAATCCATTCAGGAAAGGGCGCTTAAGATAATTTTCCCGTGTGCTGATAGCTCAGATGCCTTCGAGTTAGCACGGGTGGAGACCCTGTGAGAATAGTTTCGTTTTCTCTTCCGCTTTAGATGTATCAATTCTGTTCTGCCTAAGACCGCTGACCCGGATGAATATGGACTGTCACGGAGTACAGAATTTGCATAAAATGTACGTGGCTCACATGTAAATCAAGTGGAAGATCCGTGACGAGAGGAACTCGCCTCGTGAGGTGGAGTGTGATGTAGGCGTACATCAAGATTTTTCGATTGTGCGACAGAAATTGTAAATAGCCATGGTGTTTTTTTTTTTTTTTTTTTTTCATAGAATTAAAGATACAAATTAATTCTGGTATGTGGTAAAAGGAAAATCTACCAGCCTTGTCTGAATGTTACCGGCACCGTATTATATGACTGCGTAGGACAACGCCAGAGTGTAACTGCCAACCCGAGTTGGGTATTTAATAGGGTACCACATATACACTTGGTCTCTACAACAAGCTCGAGCATTTTCAACTTTAAGCTTTTACCTTGAGTTCAGTATCATCCTGAAAATGGAATTAAACAGATAAAAGAAACTCATCCAAACAGACATCTTGTCAAAATAAAAGCATGGCTGGAGTATATGAAAAACTAAGCCTGTGGGGAATGCCGAAGCAAACTCGAGTCGAGATTGAGCAAGGAGTACGCGAGGAGCGACGCATAAAAATTACGTCATCTTTCCGAGCTCCATCCCTGGCGCATGACTCCAAATTTTCTCTCTCCTCGACTAAAAAAGGGACAGATGACTCCTACCCTGCATGCTAAGGTAATCAATTTTAGTTATGGTGGATAGTTCGATAGAGAACTACATTATTTACTGCCATATTACGTTTGTATCGACCATTCAATTGAAATATGACTGAAAAAATGGAAGTACTGGGAACACGAGTGCAACGAAATTTGAGCCACGTTCAACCTGGAAAAAAGGCTAAAGCAGCTGAATTTGAGGTACTGTTTATTATTCATGGCTGCCATTTTGGTAACGAGACCAGATGGCCTAATGAGGGGAAGTTTTCATGCAGGAAAACGAAAACACAACGTAAACTAATTCTGTAATTTTTATTGTCTGATCACACGACCTAACTTTACACCCGATACACTCATCGGATCAACGTCAGTATCTGAGCCGGCTACTGTTTACCTACCCCTCCCCTAGCCCAGACTAACCTTGATTACAAGTTGACCGTTGTCGAGTTAGGGGAGGGGTAGATGTGCAGTTGGTCAGATACTGACACTTGCCCAGCTCATCAATTGACGTATTTAAAGTGATAATAAAGTATCTATTTTACACTGCTATATACATGGTGGGGATATTTTTTTGCCGAGTATGCTATCTACATTGATAAGAAATCAAATGGTCTCTTCTACACCGCCATGTCTTGCTCCTCATGCATGTCGCCAAGTCACTGTGCTTTCGATATCTTTAAATTAAAATTGCTTTGTCTGCAATAATCACCCAAGTCAACACACCAAACTAAAATCATCTCGATAAATGCCACATTTTTTGCCCAAAATCTTTTCAAACCGTGCCGTAACATGTCTCTATAATATATACAGTCCAAACAGCTATTTTCAACACGAAAACTTCGCGACGTTTTCTCACCATCACATTGCTGAACATCACTTCTAGTTTAATACAGGGTTTATGGGAGCAGGGATAGCGCAAAGATGAGAGCGCTCACTTCCCTCCATGATCGCTTGGGTTCGATTTTCAGACCTGGTGTCACATGTGGGTTTAGTTTGTTGTTAATTCTCGTCTCTGCTCTGAGGGTTTTTCTCAGGGTCATCCGGTTTTTCAACCTTCTTATAAAACCAATACCCTAAATTCCAATTCGACCTGGTAAAAGTGGACAAGAAGAGCCAACATGCAGCATGTCCACTGCTAAATCCCGTTTATTCTATTTTAGGGGTTTCATAAATGATTGATTCACCTCTTGTTTCACTACCAGAAAGCAATTTGTCTCAGTGGGTCAGACAAGAAGCAAAATTTGCTTTTCTCTTGTATCAGAACGAAATGACAACCTCACTCGGATATGTTGCTTATCATTGATAAAACTAATTTGGAATCTATCAGTCTCGACAGAATATCCCGCATTAAATTAACTCCAAACTAATAGTTAGACCTGTTGGACAATCCTCACATGTTAATTACGCAGGTCATATTATCAGTGACTACCACTTAGTTGAATCGTAGTAAAACTTTACTACGATCGAAGGTGGCACTTCAACTAATTTAAGACATATTGGCACCAATTATATACTGTTTACCCATCAAACCAAAGTACTTTTAAGTTAATAAAAAGTCGAATGACCTGTTCCTCCGCCTCTATTTACTGCCTGGTACATTTCAAACTCCCCATTCGTCTCCTTTACTCTTGTCGTGTAATAACAGCCCTCCATTATGAAGAAAGGACACAAACTGCTCTGCTTTTGGGTTTGCGCTTCCTTGATCGGTTCTTGAAAATTAATGAGAAATGGAACATTAACGATTTCATTTATCATGAAACCCTTCCTTAATCTAAGTAGATTCACAGAGGACGTACTTTCATCATCTTTAGTCCCCCTACATATCCTAAAACCTTGAGTGAGAGTCCTGAAATAGTTTAAAGAGAGAACTCATATTGTCTCTAATATTGGAAAAAAAACTTAACTCGCGTCACTTGGACTTATACTTGTCACTACCTCTCACTGAAAAGGGAAATGGCAGGACGATCATTTCGCAGGATCCAAGCAGGAACCCTCGGATCTCTACAAGCTCACAGTTTCCCTCGAAGCTTGCTCACGGAAATCTGTTCTTTCCTCAGAACAGATGGAGTCCGCAGGCAAATATCCCAACATATTGGCGTGCTAAATGAAGCCAATTGTTTGCATGATTAGTTACGTTTGACTTCCTTTCGGTCAAAGATCAAAGAGAGATTTATTACCTTGGAATCACCGGAAATTTTCCTATTTTCTTTCCCTCGTGGTGATGGTTGAGATTTCTTTAGTTCATCTGCCTGTAATTGGGAACGAAAGGAAAAAGTTTGAGTGGGCGTTGGTAATTTACAACAGGACGGGTATAGCAATTGGTTATATTAACCTCTGAATAACACTTTTTTAAAACTAGTAAAAAAAAAAGAGCTGCACTGCAGGAAAACAGAGAGCACGAGCCTGCCAGTTACTTAATTCTAAATGTTGAAATTCCTTCATTTCCAAATGGCAGTTGTGATGTTTACCTACCGAAGGGAAAAGGCGCCTCAACATTTTGTCCAGGTATATAATCTGCTTCTCTCTGCAGTTTCTGGATACAATCAGTACGTCTAGTTGTTTCTTCTCGGCTGCTGTCATGTTCCCTTTTTCCGATTGTAGATCTGCAACACTTGTTTTCAAATTATCATGCACAGTTCGTAAGTTGCGGTACGTAAATTCGTAAAACTTCGCTTTCAGGGACTCATCGCACTTGCAAGCTTCCCTCGTCATGCCTGTCATCTGTGTGTACAGCTCCCGAAGGGTCGTGTTATGTCTGGAGATCAAATCCAACTTCTTCGTAACATGGAAAGCTTCTCCTTTTAGCTCTGGTATCTTTAGATTTTTTTCTACAACTAATAGCTTTTCCTGCATATCCTTGAGCTTCTCGGAAATCTTTGGCGCTTTCGATGACGAATTTTCTACTTTCTCTTCGCCTGTTCTTCTGTTTTCTTCCACAACTTTAGGCACCTGAGTGGAAATCTGTTCCATCTCTTCAGCAGGTGTTCTGATAATTTCTTCAACAACTTCAGAGGTGTGGGTGTAAATTTGAACTGTTAGCCCTGAATCGTCTGGGCGTTTCTCTTCAGCTGATGTTTCGATGATTTCTTTTTCCACCTCTGAAGTCTGGGGGGAAATAGATTCCTTGTGAGATGAATCGTTAATTTTAAATTCAGCTGATTTCCCGGGGAAAACTGGCCGTTTGTCGGATGAATCTTCTACTTTCGTTTCGTACAATGTTCTGTATTCTTCTCCAACCTCAGACTCCTGTGACCAAATCTGCGCTTTGATAGGTTGATCTTGCCTCCTTATCTGAGCTGATGTTCCAATAATTTCTTCTGGAGTATTAGGCCTCTGGGTGAAAATCTCTTTGCTGCATTCGTATTCAATTAATCTTCCGATGTTTTCTTCCATAACTTCAGGCGTCTGCATGGAAATCTGCTCTTTGGTGGGTGATTCTTCAAGTTTCTTTTCATTGGATGTTCTGAATTCTTCTTCAGCTTTGGTGGTCCGAGTCGAAGGGTGTACCTTGATTGATGAATCTTTCTGCCACTTTTCAGCTGATGTTGCGATAACTTCTTCTAAAGTATCAGGCGTTTGGGTAGAAATTTCTTTCCGGCCTTTGTCTTTGATTGATCTTCCAATGATTTCTTCAATACCTTCAGGCGTCTGAGTGGAAATCTGTTCTTTGGTGAGTGAACCCTTACGAGTTTTGCTGGCAAACGATGTTCCGATATTTTTATCAATAACTCCAGGCTTCTGTGCGGTAATTTTGCAGGTTGCATCAATGTAGCTCTTCAGTTCCTGTATGGAGAGTTAAAACAACTCAGTGATCAACTTATGACAATTTGAGCAAGCGTTTATTTGTACGGAAAACAGATATCTGCAAAGACTGTTACCTCGACAGATGTTTTAAACTCTTTATCGGGACTCTTCCACATAAAAAATGGTCTCTTCTCAGTACTGTCGACCCCCAAGATGATCTCAGTCTGTCGATGAAAAATGTGAGCAACAACTAACTGGTAAGAGAACATATAATTGCAATGATAGAAGGTCAGCAGATGATTTACATGAAAACATTCTTACCTTGTTTTTATCGTTAAGGATTAATGTCCCTTGAATCTCGATCAACATTGCTCTTCTTCCGCTTGGACCTGCATGCACCGTCAAATATACAACAACAACAAATTAAAAGCAGAGACTCCAATCAATGTTTTAAGTATGGGCACCTCTGACATCATGGCATTTCTCTGGTAAATAATCATAAAATTTGAGGACCACCCCAAAACTTAAAAAAAAACTTCTATGTGGATATTAACGATTTTTTTTATCCCCCACTATGACTTCCTGAAGTGATTTAAAAGAAATTTCTTTTTAAAACGCCATAAGGAACATTTCCAAGAACTGTAGAGGAAGAAAAATCCTCGGCCGAGAGTCAAAAATTTGTTCCTAATGACAATAAAACATATTACTAATACCAATTAATCTGTCAGCCAGTGATTGAAGTCCGGTGGCTTTTAATGCTGCAGCTAATTTCCCAGCAGTGGCTCCCTGATGACCTTCCTTTTCCATCCATCGCACCAAAAGTTTGATGCAACGGTCGTTGCAACTGTCATTTTCACTATGAATAACTTCAATTAATGATTCTTTGAATCCCAGTTTCCGAGCCAGGTCTTTCCATCTCATTCCAATCCCCTCGGGAAGCTGTTGATCATGTATGTCAGGCTCAGTCAGAGGGTGAATAGGATCCAAAGAAACAAAGCGGCAATCTGAAAAAATATACATACATTTGGAAACGCTTTCACGCTGTTTAAGAAATTTTGACACTTATTGGTCATGCCTAATTTTAGAAAGAATGCGTGAGTCGCAAAATAGTAGTAAATTTGCGTGCAGCAATTGAGTCAACTGCTGTTATCACGTGCATGATCGGCACACGATTGGCTTCAAAGCCAAAGACAACAGACCACCCCGCTTTTCAAAAGATTACAAAGCAATATCGCCTCTTAAGCTGAACGATCTGATAAAATGGGACAAAATAGCTAGAGAATCGAGAAGGAATTTTTTGTGACTAAAATTCCACAATGCAGTATTGTTTTGATCTCAAAACTTGCAGTATGCTTCCTTCGCACCGGTGTAGGATAAAACGAAAAGATAAGCATGATTGAGGTTTCTTGCGCAATAATCGATGACCCTTGTCGTGTTTGTTGTGACTAAATTTAGCTATCCTCAAGATTACCATAAAATTTTAAAGAAGTTGCGTACAAAGGTATTCGAACTTCATTTGAGACTTAAAACTCTACATGGGACAGCATAGCTGTGTGTCAGTCTGAGAGACTCTAAAATCGACCGACAACTACTAAATAGGGCTGCACGTTCAATCACTTTCTCTGACTTAAAAATGATTGACCTCGCCGAATGGACTCCCTGGAGCGAAGGCGTTCAAAGCAACTTGCATTTATTCCTTTAAGACTCACGCAATCTTTCGCCGACTCGTTTAAAGACCCTTTATAATAGTATTTTCCAAGCCATATCAGTCTAGTGTTCTGACATAGTTTTAGATTTTCAAAACACGTCGTTTTTGTTCTAAGTACTAAGACAGGAAAACATTTTTTATTGTTGCGGTTCTGTTATCCAGAACAGCTTGCCTTTTAAGCGCTAAGAGACAGGCCACTCTTAGCTCATTACGTCGTGTATTTGAAATCGATCGAATTCAATGATAGTGAGATAATTTTTCATAGCCTATAGTATAATCTTGTACAGATAATTAAGTAAGATCATTTGATAGTTGGTACAGTAATTGATGTATTATTTTTTAAAAATAAGGCTTGATGGAAGGGCATGTAAATATTAATTGATATCGTATATAAAATAAATTTTACTGACCTTCCTAAACCACTATTTTGATAGTGAAACATAAAATGTGTACGCGAGGTTCCGTAACTATTTAAAAAAAGATCACCCGAAAGTCGACAATATCTACAGAACTTGCAAAAATGTTGTATGGCTCAGTGATGAGTTAGTTAAATGTGTTTAAATTATACATGGCAGATGGTTATAAAAACAATTGCGGAATCAGTATTTTGATAACCCTTCACGCGGTGATACGGTGTTGTTTTAAGGATCTTTTCGCGGTGTTGAGAAGATTAAGAGTCACCTAACAAACCTGTCCTCGAAAGATAACCTAACCAGTTCGACTTCCAAATTTGACTTTGTTTATGTTTTGTTCACATTCCACGAAGACTCGGTACTTTGTTTCTAATAAATACGGCCTCACGACGGGTAAACATTAAGATTTATAACCACAAAATGAAGCTCATCTTGTTAGGAAGACGACAGACCTAATACAGCGAAAAATAATGAAGCTTTAAGACCCATCTTTGAAGTTTGCAAGAGATCATAGTTAAAACGGATGATTTACGCAGTAAAATGCGCAGTCTTCTCGCACGATGTGAATGAGCATCAGCTAATTTTCCATAACAAACCTTCGAAACACAAGATTAGCGTTTGAAATAACTGCTTCGTATACGACATGGAGAAAACATCCTCATAGCAGATGTCTACATTGTTAAAATAATCCCTTTTTTAGCATTCTGAGATGATCGGCTCAGCTGTGCAAAGTTGCAATCAACGATTTACACACTTCAGTCGCATTTAAGCTTGGATAGAGATTTCTATTTTCAATCAAAGATCTGCTTACCCTCGTTTTGAGCCATTCTATAAGTTCATAGTCGTTGAAGAGTCCATTTTTTAAGTCAACCTTAATCCTTTCAGACGAAAGAGAAAGCGCTCACGATAGCACTACGTCATCTAAAATCTATTACTTAGTCAAGGGTCTTTCACTGCGCATGCCATCTGCTCTCATTCAGTAGTCGCGCGGGCGCTCGGCCCCAGTCCAAGGAATATTGTCAAAAGGGGAAACATACCCCATCTTAATTTCTCAGTCGGGGAGGAAGAAGAAAAGACTTACCCAATTAAAAATTTTTAATTAACAACGAAATGAATTTTAAAGGAAAATTAAAGTTAACCAATGCACCAGCCATAATTTTCAGTTAGGAAGTAAAAGAGTTTAATTCTGTACTCGAACTATTAACATACATGTCAATGCAGTAGTTTCTGAAATAAATGTTCCTAACATAATACATTAAAATTGGAACAATTACAACATTGGAAATAAAATAGGATGGAGGACATTCACCTGACGACTGGGGAATATGGCTAAACCGCATAAGAACCTAATGTTACTTTTGATCATTGGTGGACTCGCGCGAACACTCTGTCGTTTGCATAATTCGCCCGAAGGTCAAACTATCTAAGGATAACCGCGCGGCTGAGACAAGGCAGGGGATTAGTTTCTACAGTTTAATGTTACTTGTTTTCATATATCGCCGCACTGTTTATCTTTTACGAGGTTTAATAACTAAAGGATAAATACTTCTAGACACAGTCTATTCAGTATAGCGAACCAGTGGACTATTTACAAAGTAAAGTTGACGCGTTGGAATCGCGAAGCTGAACTAGCCACTGCAAAACGATCCACTTCAGTAGCACAAGGACGATTTTAAACTTAAGTCGTCCAGATCTCGAATCCTTTGCCTGTCCATACCACCGTTAATGAGAAAATTTTAATCAGAGACGTAGAACTAACCACAAAAAAGATTAGTCTATCGGTGCCAGCAGGAAAATCTAACTCTGGAGTATTTACTCTAATCAAGATAATAATCGTATCCTCTGACCTACGACGACGACGCCCTATTCATTATATTTCGTCCCCAGTATCTTTATCTTGATTTCTGTCGCTGTCCCTTTTGTTAGACTTAAGGACATAAGATTCTTTGTCTTGAGTTTTTTTCTTCTTCATCGTAGGGATCCTTGACTGCAATGAGAAATGCATCGTTATTGTCTATTAATCCTTTAACCCCTAAATGTGACCAGCATCTAAATTCTTCTTACAGTATTACCGCTGAATCAAACATAAAGGGCGTGAGAATAACAGAAATGATCACCAACTAAAGAGGCTCTTGAAATTCTCCTTGTCCGTACGGTAGGGAATGTCGGTATGGCAAACAGTAAGGAGAATATGCATACTGATGTTGGGGTGTGAATGGTTGAACCCACTACTAAACCAGCTGTAACTCTACAAGAAGAACGCCGCTATGTTAGCATCCTCCAACATAGCCGGAAAGTCCAGTTATCCCATCGTGAGAGGGTTTGATTTTGACAGGAGCATATTTATTGACCCTCGAACGCTGAGGCTCAAAAGGCTAGACTCAGAAAAATATGCTCCTGTTGATAATTTGCTTAGAACAGACATGCAGTACGATCGACCATCTAACGTTTGGCGCATGAACAATTTCTGCTTTTCAAATTATTACTTATTATCGCCATTCTCATCATTATCGTCATTCGCAGTCTTGATGAAAAAAAATTCTGAATTGAGCTGCGAATTAAATTCAAGAAAAGAAATGATTTCTGCAGAAAAGCGGCAATTTTAAACAACCACAGGAAAGAGTCAAACTTTAAATAAATTCGTATTTAATTCAGTTCATTTAAGTCGTGATCAAATTCCTCTGCGAGCATAAAGAACAAACCGAAAAATTTGCCTCGCTCCTAACATACGACTTCGTAACTCAGTGGGTAAGGGCACCCAACTAGAATCTCGGAGACAAGGGTTCACAAAATTTTTTAGAAGGCTTCTATTGTTAATCATTTTTCATACGCTCTGGTTTGTAAATGTTGTAGCGACCAGTCAAATATTCAGAATTAGAAGAAGTGTAACTCAAATAGTTTCTAGTGTTCTTAGGGCCTTGTTATGAGGGGTGTTTTGATTCTTTACAGGATAAGATATCTCTCACCTTTGTTTTAAATTATTTTGGCCGAGCCCCTTCTGAATTTGATCTAGGTTTCTGTTTAAACAGAAAATTGAATACACATATTTCAACAAGGTCATTTTGCAGGGAGCAGGGTTGGGTTTGTAAATATGTCTTTTTGTAGGGCGGTTCCTCCCTCTGTTCGCTATGTTCGAAAGGAAATTAAAGCCAGTCAAGTGCAGTTTTATCAATCAGAGAAAATTTTTCTTAGAAATTAACAGAAAATTGCAAAGGAAGGAATCACAATCTTTAAAGTGTTGAGAATGCTTTCGAGCATAAAAGTATGTAAAGAAACTAGGAAAATCTTAAAGACCTGAAGTGACGTCTGAGTTAGATTCTCAGAAGGGAATGATACAGACTTCTCCAACTCATTTACCAGCACCTGAAAAGAGAAAAAAGGGATGAAAGACACAACTAAGCGATATCAAAGTGCATTACTTAATCTACCATGAGACTGCTCGTCAATATACTCAAGGTTTCTAAACCCCAAAACGGTTTACAACGAAATTTCCAAAATACCTTATTCGATGGTTTAACATTGAAAATGAGCAGACATTTTGCTTTTTGTGTAGTATTTTTATAAGCCTGGCGAGGAAAGATGCAAGCAAAAGCAAATATCAGTACGAATCATTTGTTAAGTCATCGAGTAAGGAATTTATTGTTCCGCTTATTTCCATTATTTTGGCTTCTAATTTTCGTAAACCAAAACTTAGGAACTACCCTGCTAGCAGAGCCTTTTTAACCCATCCTCGAATGGAGGACAAAAGAAGAAGAAAGGAAGAAAAGGCTCTGCTCGCAAGGTACTTAGGAATGACCGAACCAAACTCACATTACAATGAATATCCAGGTATTAAAAAAAAAATGAGAGACTCCGGCGCCCAATTAAGTTTTCTCAATTAAGCACAGGGTTGTCTTCCTTCAAAGACCACTTAAAGAAAAGCTACAATAACGGGTTCTTAGTATTTAAAGCTCAATAGTATAGAAGAAGTGGACCGATGCTATTGCATATATACAGAATCTTGCTTGGAATCACAGCATGTGCGATACACGCTTACCAGAGGGCTAGACCATCCCAATTTACGAGGTGGAGTAACTTAATACCAACATTTAATTTCCTTGACAACATACCTGAGAGAAAAGTCGTTTCGATAGTTTCTCCAGCTGCATAATTTGACTTTTCCTGCAGTTTCGGTATGATACTAGGTTTTCCAGATTTCTTCTGTCCTCCTTCGTCGTGCGCTCTTTTTCTGTTTCTGGGTCCTCTAGACGAGCGCTAAGATCATTATGTACTGATCTTAGGCTATAGTAGGTAAAGTTGTAGAACTCTCTTCGAAGGATGTGATTGCAAATGCAAACCTCTCTTGTCATTCGTGTTACTTCGGTGTACAGCTCCTGTAGAGTTCGGCTATGTTTGTCGATGAAATCCAACTTGTTGGTCCTCGGAAAAGTATCTTCCTTTAGTTCGGATATCTCCAAACTCTTCACTATGTCCAGCTTCCCTTGAAGATTTTCCAGCTGACTGGAGATTCTTTTCTCTTCCTCGAAAAAGCTATTGTCTGCATTTTCGGCTGATGAACCCATTTCTGCGATCTGGCTGCTAGTGTCAACAAAGTTCTTCAGTTCCTACAGCACAGTTAAAAGAAAAACCAACCAACAATAAATGCTGTTTTCATAAAACTCACGTTTCTATAAACTGAGAAATTCCTTATCATTCACACGGATTTTTTTCTTTGATTATTATCGAATAACATGGGAATACCATCGAATAAATCAAACTGGTCGCCAAACACTTCTATGATCGAAAACCTTGATTGAGACAATGAGAGTGTTTGAGAGTGTTTAATGAGTAATTATGAATCTTTAAAATTGAATCTTACCTCAGGGGATGTCTTGAACTCCTTTCCCTCAGTCTCCCAAATGAAAAATACAGTTTTCCCAAAGCGGTCGATTCCAAACATGACCTGCAAATATCAAAATGTTTAGTCAATTCAACGAGGAAAAGGGGGATATCTTATTTAAATAAATGGACAAAAACATACCTCCTTGTTATCATGGAGTTTAATGGTTCCAGTGGTCTCAATCACTATCCTTCTTCTGCCATTGAATGGGCCTGCAATAAACAGGCGACCAAAAAAGTCACTTCCACTTGCAGTGACAAAGCATCGTCAAGCAGACAACTTCATTTTGCATATAGACGTCTTTATTTTGCATAAAGCATCTGTGAACAAGCACAGCAGCATAATTGTAATAATAAACAGGATAAAATCACTCACTTCGATTCGCAAAAAACTTCAGTTCTCGCGTAACGCGGATGCAATATAATTCCTTGGCCGCTTACCGTTTACTTGGATTCATTAAAAAAATCAGCCAGTTAAAAATTGATATACGATCCTGTCGATTTAAGAATTTCAGTCTCAAAGTTGTAAGCGTCAGGTCTGATAGGAGGGGGGTCCGGACCCCCGGACCCTCCCCCTGGATCCGCCACTGCAACCCCTTTTCTTTCGAGAACTTCTAGGAACAGGAGTAATTATTTTAGCAAGAAAAAATGCGCCTGGCATGCATTTGAGAACATTTTGACCCGCAAGCATTGGTCAAGATGTTTAATGTAATAAATGCTTACCGAGATCTAACTTTTGAGTCATTCTTCTTGTTTAGTAATTGAAACAACTTCACAGAATTTTCGGTGGTCTGTCGAAGCAGAAAAATTGGCGGCGGAAGTGACTCGTTCTTTCCTGGAAAGGAACGATCTAAATGGCTAGTTATGTCAGACCGAAGAGACGAAAAAAAAAAAATTTCAATTTTACGTTCGTAATTACTGTTGAATTAGCGTAGTACAGTCCATTATGAGTGTGCCAAACTTGATCCAATAAACACTAGTTTTTAAACCACAGGAATGGTTTAAATGGCTAAAACACACCTCAATTAATTTTACATTCGTAATTACTGTTAAATTAGCGCAGTACAGTCATTATCAGTGTACCAAACTTGATCCAATAAAAACCAGTTTTTAAATTATAGCCTTTAGTTGAAAGAGGCAAATGTTCAAGTGACCTCTTGATACAGTGTTTCGATTCCTAATGTTCTTTCAACCCCTTTAGAGTGAACAAAGTAATTACCTCTTTCCTTCGATCAACTACTGCTAAGAAACGGCAGAAAAGTTGTTCTCCAGGCGCGCTGAAGAGATTTACATGGAATTTCCGTATCACCCTGATATGGGAAGTTAGTGCTTGTCCCACGACTGGGGCTTGCAATAATGACCTTCTATTCTATGTTCAAGTGTCTCCTTGATGACGCGTTTAATTTCGATTCCTAATGCTGTTTCAATCCCCGTAGATTGAACAAAATGATAATTATTTTTCCTTCGATCAACCACAGCCCCGACGCTACAGGAGTATAAAATTGGGAAACGGCGAAGAACCTTTCTTTAAGGTGTACTAAAGAGATTTTACAGTCAAACTAAATGAAGCGTACCCCTTTAGATTACATTAATGAATTGATCATTTGGATATTGAATCCGCCAGTCGTTTCAAGAATGCAATAATGAATTGATTATTTGAATATTGAACCCGATAGCCGTATCCGTTTTGAAAAGGCGCGGATCATTGTTCAAATTAGAAGTCCATTTCTGAAGTCCAACAAGATTGTTCTATTTAACGAGGAATCCTGAAAATGAACAAACTGCACTGTAATAACACTGCAAAAATAGTGGATCGCAAATAGTCGATCACAAATATTAACGAAATAAAAAAAGTCTTGCGATGGCTTCGCCCGTAAACTATTTTTTCAACGATGAACACACACAAGAATTTCTACAAGTTCGTCAAGATGTAAATAGGCGAAAAAAGCTCTCGATAACATTCCATTTACAACATTTACAAGCAGTTCTGCACAACTCTCGAACTCACCTTTCCCGCCATGTCTGACGCCATGACGACTGCCAAGCCTCCTACATCGGTGAGACTGGCAGAAACCTCACAACAAGACTGACTGAACACAGACGGGCGACGAGGAAAGGTGATGTCAGCAATCACATTGCTGAACACCATCGACTTACCAACCACAACATTGACTGGGACTCTGCGCAATGCCTAACCTACAGCACTGACTATTTTCAACGACTGACTCTGGAAAGCTGGTTTACTAACTTAGAACAGACTCCCCTAAACAGATGTCAACAACTACCCGCTCCATACAAACGACTCATTCACGACATAAACATCACAAACGACCGAAAAAGAACGACCTAACTTTACCGACAGATCGAAACAGACCAATCACGACCGACTTACGTCACTTGAGTCTTACAGCCAATAACATCACGGCAAAACCAACCGATCATTTTACACGAACTGGAATAAGAACATTCTACTGACAACAATCATTCACTTGACTCTGATGATGACTTCCGCACAGGTTGTCGAAACGTCAGTCACTACCACCGACAACAGTCCTTCTCAGGACTACACTCACCCGGACGATCAGACTACACCCTCACACGACTGAAAACGTCAAACAAGGTTTATTAGGAAACATTGCCTCGCAATAGATCCCGCACCAAGAGAAACTAAGGCTAGAAATGCACTGATTCGGAAAATTTTTACCAATTATAGTGTAGCAATGTGAGATTTAGTCATTTGATTTCCGCCCTTCCGACAGCAAAATTTGTCTTGGATCAGCTCGTACGCACACCTCCCCCCTCCTTTGACTCTTCACATCCCTACCATACACACCTCACCATGACCCTGACCCATGCGGAAACACGTTCAGCAAACATTTAATTTTGCAATAATGCTTCCTAAATTTTTAGAAATCCTTCCAGTTCGTAAAAAGTCCTAAGGAATTGACCGCGGGTAGACAACGGTTTTTCTTCACTTAGGTAGAAAACGCGCAATGGAGTAGGCCCTGCGTTCACCCCTTCTCTCCTAAAGAGTTCTAATTGCCAATTTTATCGGATGAAAACGAAGGGATCATCAAGTTTCGATCGTGAAGCGCTTAACTGTTGTTAAATTAGCGCTGTACAGTCATTTATATAACAACTTTGATCCG